GCAGCCTCAGTAAGTTATGTACTCCGTTATTTTCACTTACGTTAATAGATGTTTCTGGTGTCTTTATTCTGCGGTTATAGATCCAGATCATGTCCTCATTGTTACTCACACACTTCGATACTGAAATAACAGTGGTGTTGTCTTTTTGGTTTTAATTAAATTTAATGTGTTGACGTTTGTATGATTCTCATATTGTGAACTGTATGTGTTCGCAAATTTTGGATTTGTGGTGTTATTATAAGAAACAATTTTTTATTTACTAGGGCTTTCATATCATGTGAAATGTACACTGATTTGAAAACGAAGTTGGTATCATCACTGGAACCTATAAGTGGTGAGAAATCCGAACAAGTGATGATAGCCACAATAGACGACATGCTTGCCTTCTTCTGAATGAAATCTATAAAGTCAAAGATAAAGTTGGTCGCCGTGGTTACTTAATTAATCACTACGCCATGATGACTTATGGGGGAGTGGAGGTATAGCTTCATCGTTCTTGACTTCAACACCAGATGGAGCTTAGTGATCAAGTGATTAGCTTCACAGCCCCGGCCGCTTTATTCCCGGAGAAGGATGCCCAGGTAACCACTGGATAGCAGGCTGAATGGGCTCCAGGGTCAATATGGACGCTGTGGAAGGATCTCTGGTTAAATGAAGCTGGTAACAGAATTGAATGACTAATATTTTTCGTCTTTACAGAGTCAAAGTTTAGGTTAGTTTGTAAATGAAAAACTGGGAAGGATATAAAAGGAAGTGACGTATTGTAATGAACTCCACCAAGATTGGTAGAGCACAAAACCGACTGGGCCTCCGTTGTGACGTCAGCCTTACACACACACACACAGAAACAACAATATAACCAGCACAACAGTGTGGAAAAATCTAAAAACCTACAAGTCACTCTAATATATATAACGTGCAAATAATAACACTACATTATCATCTGTAAGGGCTAAATAAATAACACACTTATACAACACCCACGCCGCTACGAAGGAATACAGTGCAAGATCCAACATCAGCAAATATACTCGCAAATAAAGATATTTCAATAAATAGCTGGTGACTACAATGAAGATAATATTAAAGAAGTTTTAATTTTTAATTTTAATCTTAATTCTAGTTCTATATATTAATTACTGATCAACATCGCTTTCGCACGCAATATGTAATTTTAGCATACAGTGCAAAATTGTTGGCAAGGTAGACGCATCTGATGATGGCTCGTTTTCGGCCGAAACATAGTGTGACATGTTGAGCTGTGGATGACGCCCCTCCCCCCTCCAGCCGAAGTGAGCCGAGCGGAGCCGAAGTTAGCCGAGTCCCAGCATCCTGGTAGCTATGCAACTCGAGTCAACAGCGGTGACGTCATCAAGGGGTACCACGGTTGCTAGGCAGCGCGGGTAAACAGTAGTTGCGAGAGACGACGGTAGTAACAGCGGTACACAGCGTTACTAGCACGACGGCACCAGACAACAGTGGTGCCTATTACGTGGCCGTTTTCTGTATTGTCCGATCGCGGTTACATAAGGAGCAGCGAAGGCTATTCACAGTTAGTCCTCGAGCTACCTCCGAGTTAGTTCCGAGTTAGCCAGCAACCAGTCAGTTGTATTCTGGCATTTTGAGTGTAGTATTTGTGCTACTGCAGATAGCAGTAATTGTGAACCTGTAATTTGGGTGATTGTAAATGCGAATGTGAAATAAAATTCGCTATATCAAATACGGCGTGAAGTTACTTGTCGCGTTATACACCAAACACGTGACAATATAGTGATAGAGAAGCAGAACACCACAATAAATTGCATTTTAGACGGAAATATATTGTCACTTGAAGGGGGTTGTGCGTGACTTATAAGACGGGTTTTGAATTGGATGATTCAGTTTATTGACAACTTATTAATACAGTTCGATACTATAGTTTATCTTTGATTTACATTTTTACACAGTTTAGCTTTGCACTCGCGGTATGAATCTCAGTCTTCACTAGTCATATCCTGGCAACGGATTTATAACAGTTATCATTTCAAATCACACATGAAGACTTCTTTGCACCGCCTGATTCATTTATTCCCACTGTTCTGCAACTGACAACTAAATTCAATTCCTGTGCTCCCAAGCTGGCAGGCTGGCGTCTCGAAACTGGACTCATCTGCGTCTTCCCAAATGAACTGTTCTTTATAAAAATTTTACACAGACCACGCAGAAAACAGCCTCTCTAATGTTGTGAAGGCGTCTTTACAATGTCATTGCTTAGAAACGGAAGTTACTCGATTGTTGCTTGCGTATTTGTTACCGCGGGAATGTATTTATCGAGTCGTTGCCTAGCAACGAACATCTATTCTGACTTCGCTCTTGCGACTTTCGGGCATCATGTCACAGTATATATACAAGTTGGACCAGCCAAAATGGTCTTCTAATGTGTGTCCATGAAAATGTCTGACGTGCAATAAGCATATACGAGTATTTTCCTTGTTCTCCATTTGTAACTGTTTCACGGACGGATAAACATCGCTGAATTTTCCAAGGCTCCTTATCTCTCTTTCCTTTTCTGTTGAACTGAAAACCGTAAGACTTAAGAAACAAATTAAAAGAATATGCAGTGTGTGTATTATTTTTCTCTATAACTTGTGGTAAAATGTAAAGGTAAGGCTGTCCCTGTAACAGACCGTGGAGGCCCATAGGGTTGTGAGACGTCGAGGCTCCTACATTTTCTCTAGACAATCGGCTCAAAGATAGCGGTGAGGTTGTCAGCCTTAATCTCCGGCCGCCTTTTACCCCCTTAAATAATTCCTGGTACACATTTCTGTTAGCGGCTGAGTTGACCCCAGGGCCATAGTGTGGCTGGAAGGATTAGATTAATCGGAAAAANCCAGTGCACTTCTTCTGAATTACATGGTGTTACAAAGCAGAAGGGAGTACAGTTTACAAATTGTTCAGTAGCTAAGAATAAACTGAAAGCTTAGCAATACTGGAACATTTTTATCAGATTCAGTAAAATAATTAAATATTTAGAGATGTGCTAATAGAGCCAAGTATACTTAATCAAATAAATATAACATCCAACAAAGGAAGAGGGATGAATTTTACTGGGTACGTGACATGCATGGACTATGTAAGAAAGGCATACAGAATTTTAGTTTGAAGCCTGATAAGATCAGAACATTTCAGTTACATAGGTATATATGGCAAGGTAAATATTAAAATTATCTTCGGGAAATAACAAATAATAGAATTGACTGGATTGAACTGGCTCAAGGAAAGTAATAGTGGCAGCCTATTTTGAATGCCTTAATGAAGTAATGGGTTTTATAAAGTGTAGAGAGATTTAACTAGCTGAGTGACTATTAGGTTCTGAAGGATTCTCCTAGATGGCGTTAATTTCTCAGATAAATGGTAGAGCTATATTATTTTTCTTCCTCTTCGCTCCCACTTTGGAGCATATGCTGATTTCTCAGCTTCAATGGTCATTTTTACAGACGTTAGGACTCCTTGGACGGGTGATCAGCCCGTCGCAAGGCCTCTATATAAACACAGGACAACATAAACACCAAATATCCATGTCTTTTGTGGGATTCGAATCTACGATTCCGGTTTCCGAGCGAGCGAATAGAGTACATGCCTTAGAACCCTCGCCTGCCTGAGCAATAGGCCTCTGTAACATAACACAAATTAAAATTTGCAGACCAGCGCAAATTAAACTTTTCGTGATCTGTCAGTAACCTACTGAGGAAAATTGGCTTACTCCTCTATATTCTAGACCAAACAATAATTCCTGTACCTCTGGCTGTCACCTACGAGCTAAACATTTTCAACTGTCGATACATTGTGTCAGCTTGCAAGTGTAAGTCTCACATGCCTACGTATGAACGTCACATTGCACCCTACTTAAAACAGGATCACGACAGGGTTTTTATTCAACACAACTCAAATTTGTGCAGCTTATTGCCTGCATAAAATAATGAAGTAACTCTCTGGTAGCACAACCTGATGGTCCGACATTGCTACTACTAAAATCCTCCGTAGGATATCCTGAGCCAGATCGAACCACCTCATAACACTTCAACTTAATGCTATTCTCCCATTTCCTCTATATTCTAAGCGCATATTTGCATAATGTTTCCCAATAAAAATTCTTTATACATTCTTCATATCTTTCATCGTAGCCGATTTCAGTTCTATTTCTGCTCCAGCCTCTTCCTTGCTACATTTCATGGCACCGAAATTTTAATTGCTGTGTTTTCACGGGAGTCAGGATAGCTCAGTTGGTATAGCGACTGGGTACTGGCTACGACCGAAGGGTCTGAGTTCTAGTCCCAGTAGGGTCAAGAATTTTCTCTTCTCAATGTCGTCCAGACCAGCTCTAGGGTCTACACAGCCTCCTATCTAATGAGTACCTAGGGTTCTTCCCCGGATTAAAGCGGCCGGGACATGAAACTGACCACTCACTTCCAACTAGTGCCTAGGTCAAAAGAACGTGGATCTATACTTTTACTCCCTCATACGCCTTCATGGAGTAATACTTAATTAGTTAAGCAAAGGGAAAACTTTACGTGATATTTTACCTTATGTTCTCAAAAACCCAGCAGTGGGCCCTATTTTGAGCCAGCCGAACCCAGTTTTCCTCCTCACACCATATTTTTTAAATATCCATTTTAATATTACTGAAGCTACGCAGGCCTAAATTCCAAAATGGTTTTGCCTGCTCTTGATTTTTTACTGCAATTTTGATTTGTTATTGACGTCTCCAGATCCCGTAACTTTAAAACATATTCAAAGCTATGAAGAAAGTAGTCTTCTGGGATGTGGCACCGTGTAGCAGACTGCTTATACCGGTTCTCACAGTCTTCTACCCTGAAGATGGAGGCGATACGTTCCTCCGAAACGTCGGTTAACACCACATCTACACCGCCGTGGAAACCTCAAATCTTACATATTCAAAGCTGTCTGCATGTTATGATTTCGCCCTGGATTATGTTGACGAGGAGTGAATTTACATTGTATTACCTTCACGTCTATACCAGTCTACATACTAGTAGACTAATGCATGGTCCATATTTCTCCGTATGATATTTACGCCTAAATTCGATATTTAATGATAAATTGATGTAATTCATTCAGTCCCACTCATTTCTTTTGACCTTCATAGTCGCGTGTTCTAAAGCAAATTTGGAAATACTGTCATTAAGGCATAACTTTGTTGGGTTTAACATTCTTAACAATAGTCATTATGAAGTGTAATATATTCTGAGGTGAGGCGTCGTATAGTCTCGAGAGATTACGTTCCTACGAAACGTCGGTAAGTTTCTATCTGATTACATGACTTCACATTCCAGTAAGTCATCAGAGTCAGCTCACTGATAATTTCAAGGTTCACATTATGAAACACTACCGACATAAAGAACTCAAATGACGTACGGTCAGAAAGCCTAACGCCTTCAATGCATGCAACCAACATATCGTTAATGCCACACAGTTGTCTATGACGTTAGGCGCCCCACAGCGATAGATAAGACACGCGTGTATGTGCGATACAATTGCGTGAACAGGTCTCCCGGTATTTTCTGCGAACAGATAATATTCACGAAACAATAGATAAAGAATTAATTAACATTCAGCTATAAAAGAGACAGAAACAAAGATTATGAAGACTACTCTTTTCTTGGATGTGATGCCGTGGAGTTTGGTAGAAGTTTTTTAAAGTTCGTAGGAGCATGTTGCCTCCAGCTTCAGGGTCGAAGAGTAAGCACAGAAAGCAACTGAAAATCAGAATCTACCAAGCATACATCTGTATCTTGCTTGTTTGCTCGGTTTATTCTGATTATTCTCGGACCTTGAAGATGGATGAAATATATTCCTCCGAAACGTCGGCGAACTACTAGATTATAAGACACCATATCCCAGAATACAGTAATCTTGAAACAGAGATAAGTGTTCTACTCTCGAATCCCGTTTTCTTTTCTTTCATGTATTCTAATTCCGCGTATGTTTTGCCCAATTTTGCGTGTAGTATTGTCACGTGAAACGTACACATTTCTCTTATATACCTTCATTGGGTGGATATTTTTCGATTTACCTAATCCATCTAGTCGCACTATGGCCCTCGGGTCGACTCGGTCTCTAACGGAAATGAGTACCAGGAAACTTCCTGGGGGTCAAGAGCGGTCGGCGCGTAAGGCTGACAACCTTACCGCTAGCTGTGAGCCGATTGTTTAGAGAAACTGTGGGAGCCTCGACGTCTCACAGCCCTATGGGTCTCCACAGCCTGTTACAGGGATAGCTTTACTTTTATTGAGTAGCTACCGCTTTCGATTATCGGCCCAGACGCCGTTGTTTCTGTCTTAACATAGTCCACCCGGTTACCGGGGTAACATCTCATAATATTGCGTCATCAACTAGAATAAAAAAGTGACGTTATCGTGTAACAGGCCGTGGAGGCCCATAGGTTTCTGAGACGTCGAGGCTCCCACATTTTCTAGACAATCTGCTCACAGATGACGGTAAGGTTGTCAGTCTTGCGCGCCGGAAGATAGCTGATACTCATTTCTGTTAGAAGCTGAAATTCCACAGCCTTCCCAGTTCATCATCCTGCAATCTGTAGACAGAAACTCCTGATACGTGATGAGTAGGAGTTGAGTGGCCGAAAGCTGGCCTAGAAGCGATGATGAACAGAAACACCCGCGCCCTTACCGCGAAACGGTTGTATGCCAGTCACTACCAACATAGAATTCACTCACTCATGGAGCTGAGCCCTTCTCGAGAAACCGCCAATTCTGCAGCTACAAGAACTTCCCAGCATATTATGGAACCAGAAGATTCATTACCGTGTTCACAAGAGCCGTCCATGTGTCCCTATCCTGAGCCAGATCAATCCAATCCACAACACCCATCCTATCTCTCTAAGATCAATTTTAATACTGTCTACCCGCCTACGTCTTGGTCGTCCAAGTAGTCTATTTCCTTATAGTTTCCCCACCAATATCCTATGAAGTCCTGGCAACAACTTATCGTCTAGTTTACTTTGTTACGTCACTGATCACATAGAAGTAGAATACACATACAGACACACAGCAAGGGGATCTCATAAGGCTCCTTTTACTTTTTTTTAAACAGGGAATTTAGGCTAATAAATATTGTATCGTATTCCCCCGGATAACTGACAAATATATTATAAAGATAGCTATCTAACTGCATGAATGAGTCCTTCTTGAGGACCTCTCTTTTTTCAGCTAGTTAAAATTGAGGTTAGTTCTGTCAAAAGGGGTTTAACTGAGTAGGCGTCTTCCGCCCCCTCACCTGAGGACGGAAAGAGATCCACTTTCCGAAACGTCGTATTTTTTATTTTTTAGAATATCAGACAATGGGAAAAGTCCAAAAACCCAGTAATTCTGTAAGATATTCCCTGTTTCTTAAGGAGTCCCAAAATTAATCGGCGTGTTACCTAAAGCTGAATATTAGTCTCTATTCTGAGCCAGATGGATCCAGCACACAATCTCCTATCCTATCGCTTTAAGATCCGTTCCAGTATTAGGAATGGTTTCGTCCCATCTGTGGCAATCCTCTCAGCCTGTTTTGCCCCTTCAGATTCTTCGAGTGCAGTTTTACACGCATTTCTGACATCTCATGCGGCCCACTCCCTTCTCAGTAGGACTACAAATTATTAAGCTCTTCGCTGTGTAATTTTCTCCATATTCCTGTAACTCCCTCTTTCTTAGATCTAAATTTTCTCCCCACCACCCTGTTCTCAGACACTCCGTTTATGCATTCATCCATAAATACTAGACTCCAATGAAATTGTTGTGTTTTAGATTTCAGGCTTCGCCCTTTCAGGATTTCCAGTTCTTGTGAGATCGCAACGAAACGCAGGACAATGCAGACAAAATGGCGGAGGCATATGGCGGCGTTAGTTGTCAGTTGCGCTATCCAGATGGCGACACATGGCTCGCAAATAAGTTCATAGCGAGATATGCAGTCGACTCGGAAGTATAAAATCTCTCAGCCATTCGTTGGGCACGCGGTAGCGTACAGTAGCGTAGTTGGTTGAGGCACCATGCTACAAGCCGGTAGGTCGGGAGATCGAATTCCGTAGAGGGCATTATATTTTTCAATTTGCCTAATACTGCCAGCCGCACTATGGCCCTGGAATCGACTTAGCCTCTAACAGAAATGAGTACCAGGAAACTTCTTGAGGACTAAATGGCGGCCGGCGTGTAAGGCTGACAACCTCACCGCCATCTGTGAGCCGATTTTCTATAAAATGTGGGAGTCTCGATGTCCCACAAGTCTGTGGGCCTCCGCGGCCTGTTACAGGGATAGCTTTGGCTTTCTTCTTTGCCTCAACCGTGCGTATGTTTCTCTAAAGAAAATTATAAATGTATATAAGATTACTTTCTGCCATGTTTGCTTTAAATAAACCAAACACAACACTATATTTGTTTTTTAATATCAAAATAAATATTTTTTCTGCTCGTTAACACATTCAACATCGGTATAACGATTGTTTATGGGCTTGAAAGCTAAGGGCTTGGAGTTCGAGTCCCGGTAGAGAGAAGATTTTTCTCCTCTCCACAGCGTTTCATCCAGCCTCCTATCCAATTGATACCGGGGCTCTCTCTCCGGGAATAAAGTGGCCGGGGCGTGAAATTGACCACTAACTTCAAAATAGAGTCGAGGACAAGAACACATGGCTCTATACATCCCCTCCCCCATACGTCTTCATGTTATTGTGCTTAATTAGTTAGGCACAGGAAGAGCTTATGTTATTCAAGATGTATCGACAACTCATGAAAGTAAGTAAAGCTATCCCTGTAACAGACCGTGGAGGTCCACAGTGTTGTGAGACGTCGAGGCTCCCACACTTTCTAGACAATCGGCTCACAGATGGCGGTAAGGTTATAAGTCCTACCCGCCGGCCTCCCTTTACCCCAAGAATGTTTCGAGAATATTCCTGCACTCATTTCTGTTAGAGGCTGAGACGACCCCAGGGCCATAATGTGGCCCGAAAGATTAGGTCAACTGAAAAATCCAATGACCTCATCGGGACTTGAACCAGCGACCTTCCGACTTGTAGCATGAGCCGATTGTATAGAAAATGTTGGAACCCCAGCATCTCACAACCCTATGGTCCTCCACAGTCTGTTACAGGGATCGACAACTCCTATAGCGGACAAATGTTGTCTACGTTTTGTATCTCATTGTACACTCCTGTCGCAGGTTGTTGATTCAGGTGCAATACGTGTGACTGTACGGCAAGGGGTCATGAGAGGGAAGACTATGACATCTGCGAAGGGCAGGACTTTCTACTCCTTCCAGGGAATCCCTTACGCGAAGCCGCCAACCGGATTGCTAAGCGTCAAAGTGAGTGCTTCATGTTGGTAGGACTGGCTCATTTTCTGTACGTCTTTCTGGGAGCGTAAAGCTTATTTTAGGCTGTGACATTTTGTAGTGGTGTAGACCAGTGGTTCTTTACCTTTGTTAAACCGCGGCCCGGTAAATTCTTTTTTCTATAAGACGAGGGTCCGGTACCGGACCGAGGCCCCGCTGTTGAGGAACACGGGTGTAGACGCTTACCAGAGAATTGTGCGCTGAAGATGGAGGCAGCAGGTTCCTCCAGATCTTTGACCGTCACCTACATGAATACAAGATTGTAATCTGACTTCTCACAGCCGTAAACTCACATAACTCATATTATGAAATAGTTATTCAGCCGATAAGAAAAAATCCTCATTCTATGGAACTCAAAGATTAATAAACATCATGAGAGCAGTTAGCTTTCAGATAATAAATTGATTAGAATCAGTCTATTTTGGACCTCCGAAACATTATACTAAGATATGTATTACTATCATTTTAAAAGCTACGCTTTTGTGACAAATTTTTTCATGAGTACTCCCGCCAAATGTCTGCGTAATTTTCAATTTTTTTTTTTTCATAAGAGCAAATTTTCGTAACTTCATTAAATGAAACAGAGAACTGAGACAGTCATCAGAATTATCTAACGATCAAATGACTTGATAGCAAGCATACAGCGATTCTAAACAACTTCCATCTTATTTTTCACCAGCCATTTTGAACGTTATAATCTCGCCATAGAAAATAAAAATGTTTTCTTTTTCCAGCGAAAATGTTTCTAGTATGGCGTATATTTTGGTGCTATGTTAATTATTAATTCAAATTATTAATAACTTAACGACAGTAACAACTTTTTAATAATCAGTTAAGCTTTATTACTATGATCAGTGTTTGAGAAAGGCGGACGGGACAAGGGGCGGTAATAGACGTGGGGCTTCTGACCCACTCCGTGCCCCATATAAATATGTGAATATATTTAGTAAATATTTCAAAATATCAGATTTTGTATTCTTTGTTATAATAAAATTAAATTATATAATGGGACAATTTACGATATTTCAAAATATACAAATTAGTCACATTTTCTGACATATAATTTGACAATTATTTAATTTTTTTAATTAAACAAGAATATATTTGAGCTCCCCTAGGCCAAGGGCCTAGACCAAGTTGACCTGCTGACCTCACCTAGATGGACCTGACAATAATATTATAAACAATAACTATATTAACAGAAATATGATTACATTAAACGTTAATAAAAACTAGTTCTTAAAACAAGGGAAATTTTTTGTGTAACCGAATTTCGTGCTAATGGATTAAGAGTTGATTTAAAGCAACTTAAAATAACAAATTATAAATTACGTCTTTATGAAATAATTTTTATTATATCATTCCTCCAGGACCGCCTCTGTGGTCTAGTGGTCAGAGTTCATGGCTACAGATCCAGATGTCCCCGGTTCAATTCCCGGCATTATCACATTTTCTGAGACATAGTGGGTCTCGAACGGGGTCCACTCAGCCTCGTGAGGAAAATTCAACAGCTATTTCGAGGAAATAGAGGCTCCGGTCTAGAAAACCGAAATTATTGGCCATGGGGATTCTTTGCGGTGACCACGCGATACCCTCTATCCGCTAAAGTTGGCACTAACATCGCCGAGACGCGGCAGTCGCTCGGTAGGTATAGTTCGCTTGCGGACTACAGGTCACGAAGTTACATAATTGCTCGAGATGATTCAGTTGAATATTCTTCACCGTAATCTCCTTTACTTAAAGTTAACATAATATGAAACAAAATCTATATAATGTAAAGCACATAAAGCATCCTGGTTATTTACTTAATTCTTATTTGCCTCTGGGGTCCCGTAGGGACCTTGGCTTCTATAGATCAGAGTATCAGAGTCCCATACCCCACGCCCATGCCTCAATCTCGTCGCTCTCAGCTCTTCTAAATCATTTTCTTTATATTTCAACTATATTTTTGTGGGCCTACTTACATTTCCTGTATTTATATCTTATTTTTCAAACCATCTTAGCCACCCTTGCTTGGTATTCTAATCACAAGTCCCATCAACTTCACCCTTATTCTTTCATCGTCCATTACCAGATCAGGGTTACAAACCCTTTGCTGAATGTTATGAGCAGGAAACTCAGACACCAACCCCGTGGGAAGGCGAACTGGACGCTACAAAACCCGGGCCTAAGTGCATACAGCTCTCCATTTCCGTCACTGACAGCGAGGACTGCCTCTATCTGAACGTTTTCACGCCACAGGTGATCTATATCTTATTATTCGCTCATTAAGCATGGAACCACGATTCACAAACAACTGTAAATAAAAGCCATTTTCCCTAAATTACTATTGCCTATTGTTCAGCTTGATTCAACCTACGAAATATCTTCAATTTACTTTGTTTGAATGTTCCGATTTAAATGAACCCTCTTGAAGTTATGTTGTGTTAATAGATATAATGATTTATTTTATATACACACATTACATTTTACTAGGATATGTCTTGGGCCGAAAGATGAAGAAAACACTGCCACAAGAACCGAAATTTTTGTTCAGAATCATTCCTCTGTCTCTTTCAGCTTCCGCAACAAAATGGAAGCCACAGTAAACAAAATGGCGACCTCATGGATGTGATCTGCTGGATTCATGGAGGGTTGTTTTATTCCCGTTCAGCACAGAATAATCCCCCAGACTTCCTTATGGATAAGAACCTGGTTTTAGTGTCCTTTAATAATAGATTAGTTGTATACGGTAAGTCACATTAAAACAAAATATAGTTCAGCCCCAAAAATGTATGTCTCCTTCGTTATAATTATAAACTTTCTATACCGTATAATTGTTAGTCTATACAACTGCACGCACCTCTGTTGACCAAACCAGAGGTTCTAAACGGTGATACATGTTTTCTGAAGTTGTGCCATGAGAACATAAAAGCATGTTCTGTATGTTATGCTAACATTTTGTGTAAACCGAATTCATGTTAACGACGTAATTATGATTAACGTATTTAATTAGATAATGTAAGACTTTCCGTTTTAAGTGATTTAAGGGGTACTTTTGAATTAGCAGAAACCTGTCAGTTGGCGGAATAGCAGGTTTTAAAAATAATAATCAATCTATACAAATGTTAGTTGCACAAATACGTGGTTTTCCTCAAATTTTCGAGGAGAATAATGTGACAGTACTTTGAAATCACGGCTGGTTTGTTCCATAACCTCGAATATCCAAAGCATTGATTACTGTCTCGTATCATTCGACGTCATACAATATTTGTATGTTGAAACATCATTGTTAAATAGCCTAATAGACAAATAAATTTTGTTCCACAAACAAATCACCATATTACAAAATGCTTGTAAGCAGAGCTATCTCATGGGTTTATCTCATTATTATTAATATTTTGATCGGTTCATCTATATAAATAAAAATGTAAATGTTCGTTTGAGTCTTACCTAAGATCTCCGAAACTTCTTCACCGATCGCTTCGAAATTTTGACACAACGTTGCATTCGAACACCCGCGTGTTTCTGTGTTCCTATTATGTAGATGTCACACCCGTGACAGGTAAAAACAGGTAAAAACCTGCCACGTGTTCCGAATCCAGCAGTCGTTTCAATTGTAACGCTAGAACAGTTTGCGTATACTTCCATGTGAACGCAATAACAGTCTGCCGTTGCTAGCATTTCCTAAGCAACGGATGAAACTAACTCTTCGATAAGGTATTCCCTATCCCGTCCGAGCGCTGGCTATATGTATAAGAGAGTTTAGCTCCGGCGACTGTTCAGTATCACGAGTGTCTCGAGTATCACGAGGTCACAAGTATCACAAGAGATTCCGAGTGAAATCACAGCATCCGCCGAGGTATAAACAGCCCACCTTGGACAAGAAGCAGTCAGTCTCGGGGCAGATGCCAAGGGATACGGAAGAGAGCCTGGAGGTAAGCGCCGAAGGAGTTAGTCTTGGGATAGCCAACGCCGAATATAAACAGTCTCGATTTATTTTCATTTTGATTTAATTTTTCGTGTGACATTGCCTTGGAATTAGGCTGTGTCGTTTTCATCAATCTATCTATCTTATATAAATAAAAATGTAAATGTTCGTTTTCTCTTATCGAAGAACCATGGAAACGCAATAACAATGGGCCGTTGCTAACAACAGGTCGTGCCCTCTATTGCGTCCGAAACCAGGTTATAATAGACCAGCTCCGAAGATCTATATAAATAAAAATGTAAATGTTCGTTTTCTCTTATCTAAGATCTCCGAAAGTTCTTCACCGATCGCTTCGAAATCCAACAGTCGTTTCAATAGTAACGCTAGAACAGCGTATACTTCCATTGAAACGCAATAACAGTGGCCCGTTGCTAGCATTTCCTAAGCAACAGATGAAACCAACTCTTCGATAACGTATTCCCTATCCCGTCCGAGCGCTTCGAAATTTTGACTCAACGTTGCATTCGCAGCAGTCGTTTCAATAGTAACGCTAGAAGAGTTAGCGTATACTTCCACGGAAACGCAATAACAGTGGTCCGTTGCTAGCATTTTTTTCATCAGTGCAATTGATCTGCTTTAGTTCATTCAGATAATGCCTCGCAGAAGATCAAACTTGGGTCGTCGTACTCGCCGAGCGGAAGCAATGCGTCGAGTATTTGCAAATCAAACTGTAGAAGAACGGGCAGACTGAGCCACAGCAAGGCGTGGCCGGGCACAGCTAGTGTATATATATATATGTAGGCCCTATCTAGGCATCTATGTATAAAACCCATTTATTTAAACTTGTGGTCCATGTACCTGCAGATGCACACACATTTTTGCAATACCATCCGTGTACTTGGACATGGTTTCTACGTCAAAAGACCTGGGTCTCGAGGTCACGACTCTCCAGGTAGCCACTTATGGGGCAGCGCCATGTTCTCAAAAGTTGGCATGGCGGATAAAGGAAACTCTCAACGTCAGAAGATTGGTAGTAAGTGTAAAGCTTTTCATAGTGTGTCAAACTTTTAACATATTATTATATTTTGTTCATTCAATATTTATATCAATTTAAAATCATGAAAAAATGCCATAAAATGGCTGTACGTGGTATAGTAGTTGGTTCAGATATTATGCTACAAGCCGGAAGGTCGAGGTTTCGATTACCGATGAGGCCACTGGATTTATCAATTTGCATAATCATTCCAACTTCAATATGGCCCTGAGGTCGACTCAGCCTCTTAACAGAAATGATCACCAGGAATCTTCTTGGAGATAAAGGAAGGCTAGCGTGTAAGGCTGACAACCTTACCGCCATCTGTGAGACGATTATCTAGAAAAAATGTGGAAGCCTCGACGTCTCACAGCCCTATGGGTCTCCACTGTCTTTTACAGTGATAGCTTTTAAAATTCCATACAATTATCTTGTAATGTTCCGATTTGGTAGACTTGGCGTTTTCACAGCGGAAAGTTAAAAGTACTGTCATCTCAGATGTAACACCGTGCAGACCGGTAGATGTTCACTGACATTTCGGAGGAAATATTGCCTCCATCTTCAGGTTCACAGTGTAAGCCTTGTAATTATTCTTTAGAACAAAATCAAGGCAGTACGCCCCTTTGATAAAAGTCGGTAAATTTGTACCAAAATACACGGTGTCACATTCCAAACTGTTTTTAATCGCAAAGCCACCCCCGTTGACAAATTAGTTCGGAACACTGGTAAAATGAAAACTGACAGGGAGAATTCAACTGCTCAGAGAAAATCCTCTCGCAGTGCCACGTTTTCAATTTCGGACCTCACACGGACTACGCTGTTACCAAACGCGGGTCTGCGAGGTAAATATTCGGTAAATAACAGCTCAAACGCCGTTGCTATTAGGTAAGACCGTAAATTTTTAGAGAAGATTTTATGAATTAGGTAGACATTCAAGGAGCGTTCATATTTATCACGATAGTCTTATTTTTAAAAGTTCGGTGTATTGTTCGGAAACAGCCAGACGTTTCGGAGGAATACATCGTATCCATTTTCTCAGTCATAAAGTAAGCCAAGCAAGAAATCTGCATAAGTCGGTGACTCAGATTGTTTTAAGCTTGGCTTACTCTTCGATGTTGAACATTGATGCGATATATTCCTCCGAAAAGTCGTGCTCTTGGAGCTGCATGACGTTAGAAACAAGAGTGTTTATCATCGTGGCAACGTCGAATCCAACATTCATATTTTGTATTGGATTTGTTTGGGAAAATTAAAGTGTTGCTTTTGGATTATTGATAGCGTTCTAGATCCGGAGTTGGGAGGCTTTCGGTTCGAATGACGGGCGAGACCTCTTATTCTGAAAGATATTCGTCGTTGTTTTCCTCACGTCCTGACAGGTACCTTAATAATGCCCCGATCTGGACGCCAGTGCTTCCTTTCGAATACTTTCAGATTAATGAACCATGTACCATACTACCATTCTGTTCTGTACTCGTACAGACTAGCTACTGATAAGAGTATCAAAGGGCTCGCCCCGCTTCTTGTGACAGAAAAGTCCTTTATTCGAGTTTTACCGACAATTTCTTTCAGCCAGGTTATGGGTTGACAGAAATATCCATCGTGTTTTTGTCGAAACTCGAAGACACCCTAGAACAGATGACAACAGCTGGTTTCGCTCAAGATCATATCGAGGTAAGTTATAAATTAACTAATGATTATGTTTGACTTATAATGTAGGGTAGTGTTTCTCAACCGGTTGAAGGCCTCCAACTGATGGGGGCATGACGGTCGGCACTGAAGGGGGGGGCATTGGTTCGCAATAATAAAACCTACCATTAATGTGTAATGTAATACTCAGACATATATCCCTACTTACTTATGGAACTGAGCCCTTCTTGAGGAGAAGCGAATTATGCAGCTACTCAAGAATATCCCAGCATTTTATGGAACTCGAAGGTTCATTACCGTGTTCACAAGAGCTGTCCACTGGTCCCTATCCTGAACCAGATCAATCCAATGCATACAATCCCATACTACCTCTCTAAGATCCATTTTAATATTGTCCACCCACCTACGCCTTGGTCTTCCCTGTGGTCTCTTTCCTTCTGGCTTTCCCACCAATATCCTATACCCATTCCTCGTCTCCCCCATTCGTGCTACATGACCTGCCCACCTCATCCTCCTTGACTTGATCAGTTGTTAGGTGGGTTCCTGTCACCAAGGCATGGCGCGTCCTCAGGTTGCAGATGGAGAAGACGCCCCCCACTTGTGGAGGGAAGCTGTGAATATATTGAATATATAGTCGCGGACAGCCGACAAGGGGTGGCCCTCAAGCTTGGGGGTTGGGCGTGGGGCTAACAACTCCTCACCGTAAAAAATCATTATGTTACGAAAATGAACACAAAGTTTGTAATTGTGTTAGGAAGAAATATTCGTTAGTTTCGGTCGTAATTATATATCTCTGCTGTCTTACTCTTATCATCTCAGGAAGGACTCTGGTACATGACGTTAGCTACATTTACGTAAACCAAAACAAATTCTACGTACTCAGAATGAAGGCCGCGCAATAGCTCAAGCGTTTAGTCGTTGGCTTCCCACCGCGGCGGCCCGGGTTCGATCCCAGGTCTGGTCAAGTGGGATTTGTGGTGGACAAAGTGGCGCTGGGGCAGGTTATCTCCGAGTACTTCGGTTTCCCCTGCCAATCTTAATTCTACCACAATCACCCTCACCTATCATCTGGGGCTGGTACAATAGGCCAGAAGTGGCCGCAGTACAATGGACTTAGTCCCACCCCACTAGCAATAAAAAAATACTCAGAATTACGTTTTTTTATTTTGTCCATCATCCGGTATTCTAAAAAACACAGAACGCAACATTTCGGACCCTGGATCTGTTTCCGTCCTCAGGTCAGAGGGGAGATAACAACTTTGTTGGGTACCTTAGAAAGAGCCAACCTCACTCACTGGACCCAAGGGACACAACAGAGTAGATGTCTCTCCTCATCTGTGGATGGAAACAGATCCAGTTTCCAAAAAGTTGTGTTCTTTGGAATACCGGATGATAAGCAAGGTCCAAAAATCATGCAATCCTTAGTATTGTCGCGTATTGGGCGTATAACGCGACAAATAACTTCACGCCGTATTTGGTATAGCGAATTTTATTTCACATTCGCACTTACAATCACCCGAATTACAGATTTACGATTACTGCTATCTGCAGTATCACAAATAGTACACTCCAAATGCCAGAATAAAACTGACTGGTTGCTGGCTAACTGGGAACTAACTCGGAGGTAGCTCGAGGACTAACTGTGAATAGCCTTCGCTGCTCCTCATGTAGCCTCGATCGGACAATACAGAAAACGGCCACGTAATAAGCACCCTTGTTGCCTGGCGCTGTGTTGCTAGCAACGCTAGCGGTAGTAACCGCTGTTACTACCGTCGTCTCTCGCAATCCTGGTTACCCGCGCTGCCTAGCAACCCGCGGTACCCTTGGTGACGTCAACGCTGTTGACTCGCGTCGCATAGCGACCAGGATGCTAGGACTCGGCTAACTTCGGCTAACTTCGGCTCACTTCGGCTTCGCTCGGCCCATCATATCTGGCGGGGGGGAGTGGCGTCATCCACCCTTATACACCCTTATCAGACCACTTTAAAATCTACAAGTTCTAGATAATTCATAATATTTTCATTATATTTCTTCATAGGCTAAAGTTGTCGACAATGATGGACGCATGGTTCCCATGGGAACCCCTGAAGAGCTTTGGATTCGAGGGTACAGCGTGATGTTGGGATACTGGGATGACGCAAAGGAAACTCGTCAATTCATTGGTCCAGATGGATGGGTGAGAACTGGGTGAGAGATCAAAGATTTCATGTTAACATAATCAGGGAACTTAATTATCTGTCACTAAGATATATTAGAACGTACAGTAAACTATTTAATAGAGGGAAAAGACACTACCTGTTACCGTGTAGCTCTGTTACAGCCCAACGGAATCATCACCATCGTCATCATTTACATCATCATCATCATCGTGATCGTTGTAATGACGATTTATGCAACCCTTACTCGCCAAACAAAAATTCATCTACCAATCTAAGCTCTTAGAAAAGGAATATATACTTACAACAGAGAGAGATTTTGGAACATTGATACCGAAAGCAAGGACTCTGTTTTAATTTATGATAATTTTTAGTTTTCAATGACTAATTACTCATTATACTAATTGATTTTTCTTTTACGAGACTCGCCACCATATTGTTTGAGACATAGCAGCCTCAGCAAATATACCTCAAATTAATCGCTTTGCTTTTCCGACTGTCACAAATCTTCCCCTGTTATCTGTTGTCTAGGCTGTGTTTGTATTATTCTATTAGTTTTCTCCCATTTCCTGTATCATTTTCACTGATCAAGAAGTTTGAAAAAACTCAAAATATTACTTTTATCAATTATGCAATCGAGTGACTCTAACAAAACAGATCAAACAATGCAATAGTTTCGTGATGTACGCGTATGAATACATAAAGAAATAGAATATGAGTGAGAAAGATAAGGAAGTAGGGCCCTATGATAAAGCAAGAATGAAGTGATAAGTGTCGCAATCTGTAAACATCAAATATTTCTACAATTAATATTTTGCTGGACATTATCCATCATCTTGTCTATTCTAAAAACAGTCTAATTTCTATTAAAAAAAACACAACGTTTCGGGAACTGGATTCTGTCCCCGTCTTCAGGTAAAACCTACTCAGTTGGGTCCAATAGACAGAGCTAGCCCCTATCTCCGGACAACTATGCCAATTTCCGAAGGGATTCATAAAAGAAACACAACTTAATCCATCTGTGAGAGCTAAGCGATATTGAAGCTATCATAATTTGAGGCTTAGCACCAGAGAAAGAAATCATACCGGGAGAGAAGCAATACTCCTTGTGGTATACAAGCACAGCAAAATTATCTGTGGGAGCTAAGAAATATTGAAGATATCATAATTTGAGGCTTAGCACCAGAGAAATATCGTGAATGAAATCATACCGGAAGAGAAGCAATACTCCTTGTGGTACCAACATATGAAACAAAGAGTTACCCAAACCAACTACACTTGACGTCGCTGTAGTCTCTTGATTTCNAAGATATGTTGAAGCTATCATAATTTGAGGCTTAGCACCAGAGAAAGAAATCATACCGGGAGAGAAGCAATACTCCTTGTGGTATACAAGCACAACAAAATCATCTGTGGGAGCTAAGAAATATTGAAGATATCATAATTTGAGGCTTAGCACCAGAGAAATATCGTGAATGAAATCATACCGGAAGAGAAGCAATACTCCTTGTGGTACCAACATATGAAACAAAGAGTTACCCAAACCAACTACACTTGACGTCGCTGTAGTCTCTTGATTTCTGCTGTAATGACAGGGGCCCAGATGGGAGAGATATCCATACTGGGTTGACTGATAGGATGGTCCAGCAGAGACATGTGGGCTGATTCCTTGTATCTTCTATATGTGGTGTTGGGTTCGATCTGCAAAACCTTCGCTTCATTCCAAAGAATTTTGTGATCTTCCTCGTATGCATGTTGGGCCAATTTAGACTTTTCCAGCAAACCCTGCGTCATATTATATTTGTGCTCCTTAATGCGTACTTCTAGGGGTCTGCTAGTTTCACCGATGTAACATCTGCCGCAGTCGCAAGGGATGCTATACACACACTGCTTCGTTTTCTGGTCATCTCTACTGGGTCCAGTCCGGCGGACATTAATGAAAACTGGACCCAGTGTTACTTGAACACGCCTCAGAGAATTTTACTGCTACAAAATGGAGATGCAGCAGATGATGGAACTTCTGCTGAAGGAAATCAGAGCCAACCAAGAAGAATTCCTGGCTAAATTAGACGCCAGCCAGGCGAAGGCATTGGCGAGAATAGACGCCGACTCGAAAGCCTGGCGAGAAGAAATGGCCGCAGAAACAAGGGCTATCCAAGCGGAGACGAAAGCAACCCAAGCAAGGGCGGCACAACAAGTAGAGGTCCCCATAGTGATACCGGTCGGAGACACGATGGCCTGCCAAGAAATGGAGGCACGTCCAGAAGATGAAAAGCCAGCCTCAGTGGACATGACACCTAAGGCGGCAGAATTAAGAGAGGTACCCATAGAAGACGCCGAAGTAATACCGGTCAGAGAACAGAAGAAGACAAGGCGTAGGAACCGAAACAAGCGAAAAAAGAAAGTTTCGACACGGAAAAATTGCGGACCCCAGAACAAATTGAACGTCGTTCGCAGGAAGGTGTTCCGCCATGCAACAGTGGCACGGCCTCGAAGGAAAATCGTCAGAAAATCTTGGACCCGAGGAGATCATGAATCCCGGATGAAGTTGGCCGCCATCTGCAGAAAGATATCCCGTCGGGCGACAGCGGCACGACGTTGGAGAAATGACTTCAAGAAGGAAATTCCCCAGGGAACATTCGGATGCCGGAGAAAGGACTTGGCGCCACGGTCCCGTACCAGCAAGCGGCTGGAAGACCAGGAGGAACGACGCCGTCAGCAAGGGCAAACAACGCACCAAGGGCTGTTACGTCGACATAAGGAACTTCTCATGGAAGACATAAACAAGGACTGGACACTGTGGAAATGTCGACCGCCTCCAAAACGAAAAAAGAAGCAGGGAACAGAAGAGGAGCCGGTAAAATAGAAGAACCGGCCTCCCCAGTGAGAGTGAATGTGCCATGGGAGAAAGCGATGGATGAATGTAATCTTCTGGCGAGCTGAAAGGAAACCGCTCGAGACGAGCTTTGTCTTCAGAGGGGAGCGGATGTAACGGACGAAGAATAGTCGCTGCAAGAAGAGTAGCCGAAACAACAGGAGACACTGCAAGCACGGCTACGGGACGGAAAAGGAACGGGGACGCACCGTTAGGCTATTCGGGACGAACAGCATTAAGGAGGGAGCAGTGTGACGTGTTGCGCAATGGTAATAGACAGGTCAACATCCTCCCTCCCCCCACCGCCAGCGGTGACGCGCCGAGCGGAGCCGAAGTGAGCCGAGTCCCAGCGCACTGGTCGCTATGCAACGCGGATAAACAATGGTTGCGATAGACGACGGTAGCAACAGTGATGCCTACCACGTGGTTGTTTTCTCGTTGCCCTGCTGAGGGTTTATAAGGGAGCTACACAGCCGCCGACGACAGTTCTCAGTTCGCAAGTTACGAGTTACAGACGCATGTGCGAGAATCAGTGATAGTTCGTGATAACCGAGTGTATTTGGAGTGTGTAATTCAGGGAGACTTGTATAGCTCCCGCGTTATTAATACGTGAAGACTTTGGTTGTAGGGTTTGTAAAGTGTGGAAACCCGTAACATTGTTATAATTAATTGTAGCCTTTGTTTGTAGATTGTTGAATAAACCAATTAACCATCCGAACGGCGTCTTCAGTAACGAAACAATTTACAATATGTTATCGAAAACTCTTCCTTTTGCTTTACACACAAGTCCTCTGTCGCTACAGGCTTTACAGAGCAGATTGACCTGTTGTGCTTTGTAGCGGAGACTTAATGTGTTTCCTGTGAGGTAAGAACTGGATTTATATATATTGTGTAGAAGGAATTAGTCTTTAAATAATTAATGTCCTATTCAGAGATATATAACACTGTCCTCACTACACAGCCTACCACATTCCCCCTTCTTTGCAGTCAAACAGAAGTAACATTGGGGCTATAGGTAGATCATATATTAACTAAGAATTAATTTATATGCATGGACCAGTTCGTATTGCTGGAGGACGGATATGGGAAGATTGTTGGTCGAATAAAGGAAATGATTTTCAGAGCTGGGGATAAGATTTTCCCAAAAGACATTGAAGATTTCTTTACGGAACATCCTGACGTTTTGGAAGCCCAGGTGACATTTCTACTCTCATATCAGCTCATAAACACAAATGTTTGCTTAAATCACAGTTAAATATAAGCGCAACTTTTGTATTCATGGAATAAATTGAGAATAACCGATTTGGATGTTGATATTCTTAAGTTGTTATTTGGTGTAATTGGTTATTTTTTCTCCATCACTATTATACGCTATCATTTCTGTCACTAGACATTAATAGTAGCACATCTAGTAATAAGATAATTCAAATTCGAGACCATATTTTACTGTCTCAGATTCGAGATTTCCTTTTTCGCCTCCTACGTTTCGCAAGGTCACGGTGGAGGTTTCGACCCCGCCTCCACACCGGTCGTCCCTTGCTTAAAAGAACTCGGCACGGGCCACATAGAAAACACCGCTCTTCTGTTGTTACGTTTGTGTTCCTTGCCGCTGTAACGTGTCTACTGGGCCGTTGACCAAAAACGGCTGGGGCGCGGACCGCAGAAAATACCGTTCTTCTATTGTTGCTTGCGTGTATGTTGTGGCCGTTAGATAGCAACGGCCGTTGTTTACAGAGTCATGGCTTAGCAACGGGTGTATACGCCACAATACTTCAAAATGTAAAATCTCGATAATGTAACACGAGCTGGATTTCGGGATGAGCACCCTGCCGCACAATTGTGTCTCCGAATTTGCTGGACTCGCCGAAACGTGGATCATGACATGGGTTTACTAATTTCATGAGTGTAGATTCGGCTTACTGTCTTCTTGGACCTGACGCCGTGCAGACTGGCAGAAAAGTACAACGATTCAGAAATAAACCGCTGCTTTTTTGTCAGCTCTCTCTCCTGAAGATGGAAACAGTAGGTTACCCTGAAACACTAATATATTTCTACCAGGCTGCACGGCATCACATCAGACAAGACTGTAATCCTCACACTGAATGGTGTGGGTACTTCGTACGTTGAAACGATTTAATGTTCTCGTCACAGGCGTTTGGAGTACCGGACACAAAAATTGGGGAGGAAATCTGTGTCTTTCTGAAGCTAAGGGACGGAGCAACCCTCACCGAAGGGGATGTCAGCAATTACTGAAAATATAAGGTTAGTAGGAAGGTATTAATGCCTCACATAATGAAGTCAGCATCTATTATTATAACAAGACACGTGTAGCATTGATATTCATAACAAAATAATGCAACAGGAAATGTTTATGTGCATTGCAGGTTGCTGAATACAGGATCCCACGGTACATTCGGTTTGTGAAGGAATTCGAGAGAACAGCGGGCGGCAAAGTGCAGAGGGTTCGTCTCCTGCAGCAGTTTCAGCAAGAACTGACACAAAATATTTTCTAACTTCAGGCCAACAAATGCAACAGAAACAAAACTATGTATATGCCGTTATTAACGGCGTTTTTTGCAAAAGTTCCACTTGCTAGAGTATCGATAACAAAAACTGGAGCCCAAATAATATAACTCAAAAGCGTTCTTTACAGAAGCAAATAACCTGCCTTCTTTGGTACCCGAAAGTAAATCACTGTCTTCAGACGTTATATCACTCAGGGTTCAGCATGAGTATGAAGGGTGAGCCATAGAAACCGGCCCTCGCACTGCGACCTTCAATGATCTATTGTGCTTAATCACTCAGGGTTACTAATTTTGAAGTATTAATTAGGAAGAAATATTCTTCTTATACAAGCTAGGCGTCCCATGGGTTCTGCCCTATCAGAAGCAGCAAGACCATGCAAACCTAAATGCTGCCCAGGGTAACGCTAAATGACGTTCGCTCAATTAACGACAGATTAAATTTCATAAAATTTCTTGAATTTTTTTCACTGTCTCTACAGCCCCCTTGGGCCCTGCTATTTGATTTTCTGATTTATTACAATTTTGCAGACGGTAGGACTCCTTGGGCGAGTGATTAGCTCGTCGCAAGGCCTCTACCTAAACACAGGACAACACAAACACAGAATAAACGCATACCAAACATCGATGCCTTATGTGGGATTCGAGCCCACGATCCCGGGTTCCGAGCGAGCGAAGACAGTACATGCCTCAGACCGCTCGGCTACTGTGACCTGCTTCGTCGCAATTCGTAACATGGAATTTATAGATGCTGTGACGAAAACTTCAATTTCCGCTTGCACTGAAACTATAAATTTTGCAACTTGGGATTCAATACGTCTTGTAATGTTGTGAATGTTTGGCCTTGGAATATACTTACTGACAAATATCCACTCATATAAATGGTTATGGATTGTTGTCTTAAATACGTCAGTCTTTGTCTTTTTTCGAATGTGAAGGGTTAACAACAGTTTGACTAGGCATTTATGAACAATTAAGTACTTTATAAATCAATGTCTCTTCAGCTATTCACTCTAATATTAACCCACTATTCTCCTTGTTGATCAATTTCCCACAGCGACCTTCAACCATAATTGTGTACACTTGCATTTATATTTCATAAGCACGACATACATTTCATAATCTTATCTCACGAAGTGCATTGTTCCGACTGCTCTGGTTCTGGCGAGCTGTATTAGTTCTGCCAGCAGGTGTCTGTGGGGCTGGATGTCCGGAGTACCGGTACTTGTAGAGCAGGCTTTTGCCTCTTTTTCTCCACGTCCTACCGGAACTGTGTTCACTGGAGCCCTCTCCTTGAAGGGCTGACCATTCTTATTCATGTAATTCGAGGTTCACATTGCCTAGATCATCATTCCCATGCCACTGTGTACATCCAGAACGTAAAATTTATGATTCGTTACTTTTGTTTTTAGATTTCATTTCGAAGACATAATCATAGAACTGACGAAGAAAAACAACAAACAACTCTGTGGCGTTTAGTCCGCAAGAGAACTATACCGACTGAGGGACCGCCGCTTGTCGGCGAAGTTAGTGCCAACTTTTGCGTGTTGCGTGGTCAGCGCGACGGATCCCCACTGCCGTTAATCTCGGTTTTCTAGACTGGAATCCGAGAACGGACACACTGTATATGTATCTCCATTATCTTATTCATTTATCTCTCTCTTGTGTCCAGAATTTCTTCTCAGAACTTTTGATTTTAGATGCTTCTGATCTTCACTAGGGACGAGGAACAGGATTTGATAACAAAATATTGAGTAGATGATGTTAAGGTTATCTCTGTGCTTAACTAATTAAGCACTACGCCATGAAGGCGCATGGAGGAGTGCATATATAGACCCACGTTTTCTTGGCCTCGGCACTAGTTAGATGTGAGTGGTCAGCTTCACGTCTCGGTCACTTTACCACCAATGAAAGAGAGGAGAATATTTGGACCGAAGAGAGATGAAGTGACAGGAGGTTGGAGAAAACTGCATAATGAGGAGCTTCATGACGTGTACTCGTCTCCAAGTATAATTAGAATGATCAAGTCAAGGAGGATGAGGTGGGCAGGGAATGTAGCACGAATGGGGAGACGAGGAATGCATACAGGATATCGGCTGGAAAGCCAGAAGGTAGGAGACCACTGGGAAGACCAAGGCGTAGGTGGGTGGACAACATTAAAATGGATCTTAGACAGATAGGATGGGATGGTATGAATTGGATTGATCTGGCTCAGGATAGGGACCAGTGGAGGGCTCTTGTGAGCACGATAAAGAACCTTCGGGTTCCATAAAATGCTGGGAAATTCTTGAGTACCTGCACAATTGGCGGCTCGTCAAGAAGGGCTCAGCTCCATGAGTAAATGCCGATCACAGTAGCCGCGCGGTCCAAAGCATGAACTCTTTTCGCCCGCTACGAACACTGGGATCGTGGATTCGAATTCAACTCAAAGCATGGATGTCTCTGTGCGTTTATTCTATGTTTGTGATGTTCCCTGTGTAGGTAACGGCCTTGTCACGGGCTGACCACCCTCCAAGGAGTCCTACCGACTGTGTACAGGATTAGTAAACGGAAAAAGCGGCCAAGGTCCAACTAAATACCTACAGAGACATAGGCAGATAAATATATTGATAATCCCTCGTAATATCAGATTAATTAAAGGAACAAGATTTCCGTTATCTCCGATGTCCGCTATAACTGAATGAAAGGGTATACACGGAAGTACACGATAGGATTACGAAGCCAATACACGAAATAAATACAGAAGCATACAATTTGTTTTTATAAAGGTTGTAATATTGGAATTCTTTTGTATTTACTTCAAATAGTTTTCTAAGTACAAAGTCCTTTTAGTGCATCAAGAACTCTAGAAATTCACACCTGCAGACAGCCAAATTTTTTCCGTTATATCCGGGTACATTTTATTGAGGGTTTCCTGTATTGTTATTTCTTCAAATTAGTTGGTACATGTTAGGTTATGGTACAAAAGAACTGTGCATTAGAATTTGTCTTTTTTTTTGTGAACAGTCTACCTGATAAAAACAACGTACTAAGTACATGTGACAGCGAAAATAGAGCAGGGATAGCTCAGTAGGTATAGCGACTTGCTACAGTGTGGATGACAGAGGGATGGGATTTCGAGTCCAGATAGATTGAAGAATTTTCCCTCTTCCACGTCTTTCAGACCGGGTCTGGGGCCCACTCAGCCTACTATACAATGGGTACCGGTGACTCTTCCTCCGGGCGAAAAACGGGTGGCCCTAAAACAGGCTACTCCCCTCCAACTAGTGCCGAGGTCAAGAACGTCAAGAAAACTTGGATCTATACATCCACTCCCCCGTACGCCTTCATAGTGTAGTGCTTAATTAAAAACAGGGGCAACTTTATGTTTTAACAGCGAAAATAATTAAATGTTTTTATGCTGCGTACTTTTCCAAACTTTGGTTCAGAACGAGTTTCCAAAATCAGTCTGTTTCACATGACCCTGTTCGTTGATTCAGACTTGCTAGTTCATCTAATGCCGCCAGAGTTCAGTGCACCGAAGTATAAATAGTGAGTAGCTTAAGCCCCTTAAGAAGCAGATCGTCAACCGACGTCGTTGTACCAAGGAAGACAGCATGGTTACCAGGTAAGTAATCTAGTATGCAGCGGTATGCAGGGCCGAGTTGAATGTTGTGGGGGACTTCATCAGTAACAACAAACTGAGGTTATGACAATTCTCTTTTTTATTCTTATTTGATATAATAACAAAAAATACAAATTTGATTTTGGTTCATCCCGGTCCGTCACACTAGCAATATTATGGAAAGTTAATCAACTCCATCCAGTGTGGGTGATAAAATGTTTTTCTTTTCTTTCTTTCCTTTTTAATCTTTTACCCCTAACACGTTTCGGTCAGAGAGACCAACTTCAGAAGGATATATCAATAAAATCGGAAACTACTGTTACAATGTGATTGGTCAATAACAATATGTACATTGTAATTGTAGTTTCTGCCTGTATTGATATGTCCTTCTGAAGATGGTCTCTCAGACCGAAACATGTTAAGGGTAAAAGATTAAAAAGGAAAGAAAAGAAAAGAAAACATTTTATCAGTCATACTGGACGGAGCTGAATAATATTTTGTAATATTGGTAGTTTTATGGATCGTTAATTTCAGTTTCTAGACCGAAGCCGCTACTTTTCCATTCAAGTAGCTCATTTTATGGAACCCGAGGGTTCAATACCGTGTTCACAAGATCCCTCTACCGGTCCCTATCCTGAACCAGATGAATCCAGTCCATACCATCGCATCCTATCTTTCTAGGATCCATTTTAATATTGTCCACCCACATATGCCTTGGTCTTCCCAGTGGTCTCTTTCCATCTGGCTTTCCCACAAATATCCTATACGCATTCCTCTTCTCCCAATTCGCGCTACAAGCCCTGCCCATCCCATCCTTCTTGACTTGACGATTCTAATTATACTTGGAGAAGAATACAAGTTATGAAGCTCCTCATTGTGCAGTTTTCTCCGACCTCCTGTCACTTCATTTCTCTTTGGTCTAAATATTGTCCTCAAAACCCTGTTCTCAAACACCTTCAGTCTATGTTCCTCCCTTAATGTCAGAAACCAAGTTTCATATTCATACAGAACCACAGGCAAAATTTGTAGTTTTGTATATTCTGATCCTTACGTTCTTGGACAGGAGACGAGAGGACAAAAGGTTCTGGACTGAATGGTAGCAAGGTTTACCCGAGTTCAATCTCCTCTTAATTTCCTCGACACACATCAACAAATCTCTTATTAATTTTCTGTGAAACTTGTTTCAGTCTCTTAATGACCTTACAAGTTCCAACATTTTGTAAAAAATTCATCTCTGTGCAATCATTTGGATAACGTTCAAGGTTCATTGATGCAATATGTAACAGTTCTTTGGTCTTGGGCCACTTTGAGGACTTGTTTATGCAACTCGTATCCACACGTCAACTTAACGATTGTACAAATTCCACTGACGCCTATGATAAGATATCAAAACGCGTTTGCAGGAAGTAACTTGGAAGAATATTCATGAGTGTCACTACGGTTCAATAAATATTAACAGGCCACGGTAGTGAAAGTCATTTTCGGGTTGTTAAAGTGGGTTAAAATCTCAAGGTATCCGATTATTCTGATAGGTTCTACACGTTTTCCTCTGCCGATTCATGGGAGTTGCTGCAATAGTGCCACAAGCGAGGTCTTGACCGCTTTGCTACTCAACTTTTCCAATTGATTACTTATAGTCATTCCGTCAGTGAACGCTCTATTGCTTTAGCTACTGATAAAAATAGTTTCCCTTGTGCTTAATTAATTAAGCACTACGCCATGAAAGCGTATGGTGGAGTGGATGTATAATCTACATTTTATTTACCTCGGCACTGGCTGGAGGTGAGTGGTCAGCTTCACGCCAAGGCCTCTTTATCCCGGGGGGAAAGAGCCCCCTGTACCCATTGGATAGGAGGCTGGGTGAACCCCAGAGCCGGTCTGAAAATTCTTGACCCTACAGGGATTCGAACTTCGACCCCTCGGTCGTCCAGCCCATAGCCAGTCGCTATACCGACTGCGCTATCCTGGCTCCTTGGATACTGATAACTATTGCTAAATAAACCTTAAATAAATAAGAAAATGATTTCGGAAATAATTTGATGACCGGCGTGCAACCGTGGAGAGCAGTGGTTACATTGTGAACTATTAACAACGACCGAATACTTTCTTCCATTGTACAGTCACTTCCACGACCAGCATAATAGACCTTTACCTGGTGAAGTGTTTCGGCTGTATGTAGAACATTGTGGGAACCAAGCTAGCGTGTTGGCCGCCCCATAGCTCAAGCGATTAGTCTCTGACTTCCCACTGCGGCGGCCCGGGTTCGATCCTGGGTGTGGTCAAGTGGGGATGTGTGGTGGACAAAGTGGCGCTGGGGCAGGTTTTCTCCGAGTACTTCGGCTTCCCTTGCCAATCTTCATTCCACCAATTGCTCCGCAATCACCCTCACCTATCACCTATCATCTGGGGCTGGTACAATAGGCCAGAAGTGGCCGCAGTACAAGGGACTTAGTCCCACCCCGCTAGCAATAAAAAAAAGCAAGCGTGTAACTTTAATGTTAGCAAGTTTTGCGAAGTTCGAAAGAAAGGTCGTATTATAGTTCAGCTAGGCAAAAAGAAAAAAAAGGAAGGTTGTAAGATTTGAGATTTTCACGGCGGTGACTATGAAGAAAGCAGTCTTCTGGAATGTGGCACCGTGTAGATGTGGCGTTAACCGACGTTTCGGAGGAACGTATCGCCTCCATCGTCAGGGATTTCCCATGATTTCCCATATAGACTTGCCCCCCCCC